GTAGGGAAATAAAGATAAGGGAGGGGGGAAAAAAACCCACATTTTTTGTTCAAATGCTTTTGAGTGTGTCTGCATGGCAGTGGGACACTTACAGCACACGGAATACCACAGTAAAGGTAGCTCAGTTCTGTGTTTTGGCTGAGCACCACCTCTCAGATTAGCCCTCATGTGAATACCTAAGCTACAAGCACCAGTATGGGTGAGAACAGAATAAGACGTTTGGCGTGTGTGGAGCAATCTTTTCCTCGGCTATAGCCTTAGTTGCTTAGAGTTGTGGAGCAGATAAGGCATGTGCTATAGGTAACATTATGTAAGTGCCATAATGTGGTGGCGGGAAGGGGAGTGATCTGTAAAGGCCTTCAGCCCAACCTCCTGCTTGGGGCAGGTCTTTCCCCACACCAGATCCAGGTGCTGCGGTTGTATGTAGCCAAGTTCTAAAATCCTGAGGGACAGGAGCCCTTCACCTCTCTGCCCTGTGCTGGGGCTGCGGCACCTACCTTGGGGAGGAGTCACTGACAGAGGGGCAGCGACTGTCTGATCCTTGTTGAACTTCAGCTTCTTGTTCTGTGGAGTAATTAACCACTTCCCTTGGTTTTAGACTACTGTCTTGCTGACTTTGCTGTGCTCTTGCTCTGGGGTGCAGTAGGAATTGATCACCCCTTCAACCTCATAGGTTTCCCTCCTCCATCTTCTAGCGGGAGGCACCTAGCCTGCCCAGTCATTTCTTCCGGGAAAATTATTCCCTGTTCCAGCTCTTCTTTGCTACTTATCTGCCCCGTTTACTTTCTGAAATGAGATGAATGGAACAGCATGTGTTACTCAAAAGTTTGGCACAATGCTTTTGTCTGCCCTTGCGCCCTGTGGCGGTCTGGACCTATGGAGTAAGTGCAACTTGGTGGGAGGTGCAGGGTTTCTTATGCCAAGTTAATCACAAGTATTGTTCTGTGCCTTCTCTCAGAGAGCCAGCTGTGAGCTGGATTTGAGGCTTGATCTAATGCAGAGTAATGATGAACACAATCCTGATGCTGTAAAGCTGTGACAGTCCAAGGACTCAGACATGGTAAGGTTTGGAGGTGCTAGAAGCAGTAGCTTTTTAACTAAATTAATATAGTTAAGAATAATAAATATGAACATACTTGCTAGTACACAGAAAAACATGCTAGGAAGATACATGCTTTCTACTACACAAGCTCTTTTTTGAGCCTAGAATGAAGTGGCAAATTTCTAAAATGAATAGACATGCAACAATAGGTAAGACTTTGAGAGGGAGGTTTTCTCAAGTACATAGTTGTGGACTAAATGTGTGCAACTAGCAAGGGGAGTTATACCTGAAGGGAAGGGGCAAGTTCCTTTTGCCTATGGAGCATGTAGAGGTTGATGGGGGAAGAGGATGGATAGCATACCAACTCCAATCTTTATTATCCATGATTTTGGTGTCAGAGCTATGAACTAGTTACTGGGCTCATCTTTAAAGCATTTTGTAAGCCTCCCTTGAAGATCTGGGGTTTAAGGTTAGAGAAGTGAGTGTTTCTGTTCTGTTCTGTTCTGTATGAGCTCAGCCTGGTGTGGTTTAGTTTCATCTCCTTTGTCGTGAAGGCACCTGGTGCACTGTGACGTATGTTGTGTCCTGGGGAACACAAGCATGATATCTAGGAGTTGTGGCAGCTCTGCTGTGGGATGTGGTTGTGGTTGCTTGTTAGGTGAATTTCAGGTATGTCCGGGATCCATCTGATTCATGTTGGATTGTTACTGATCGGTTTAGCTTCCTCTGTTGCTTCCTTCAATCCTAAAGCTTATTAGGAACCACGAAAACAGAGCAGTGCTGGTGTGAAGGGCCTGTGGAAGTTTCTAGTTCAGCCTCCTTCTCGGACCAAGTTGAATGAAAACGGAATAAAAGAAGCTAAAGCACAATCTAAGCCTTACAGAGATGGGATAACCTGGAGACATAGGATAAACTTTGTGGCTTCCCATGAATTCAGTACTATGTGAAGCTGGAGATGTGCAATCCAACCCAGGAGTTTCCTGAATGCTGCTCTTTGGCTGGAGCAGGTGGTCTGGGGCGACGCGCAGCACAGCTTTGCGCTCCAGTGTCACGTAGTGCTTGCCTCAGGCCCCTGCTGCTCTGTAGGTCTGCTGGCAACTGGGCAAGAGCAGCTAGCAAAGACAGCAAAGCCACAGCAGACCTTCGTTGAGCTCTGCCCTTTGCCTCGAGCACTTGAATGGTTGCCAGGAAACAAGGCGGTTGTAGCATGAACTGCTGAGACTGACTGTGTCTGAAAAACAAGGCAAGTGAACTATTGCAACTACTGCAGCCCCTTCCAAACTGACTGAGGGCAGTGCTCCATGTCTCCAGCTTCTTGGAGGTGCAGATAGTGAGATCCACCTTTGGAAGAGTCCTTGCCCTTGACCACAGCATGGCTAATTCCTTTGGCCTGTCAGGTGCACCTAAGCATGAAAATACTAATGGAGAAAGGGCAGCTGGATCAAGTAGATCAGGCAAGTGTGTGTGTCCATCAACCTCTTTCTAGCACGCTCTCGCCTCCAGGTCCTTTCAAGTGTTAAGATAGGGTGCTGGGCCTGGAGACCCTGCTGATGCAATTGCATCAGTCAGCGGCCTCCACACACAAGATGTGAACAGAGCTGTCAAGCCCTTTATGCAATGAAAACAGCTCCTGTTCAGGGCATGGTGCCATGTATCTGAGCCAGGGGTGATGCAGGCAGGTTACAAACACCAAGGTGTGGGACTGATGAAGAATCTGGAATGGCAGTTGCAAATCAGTGCTAAAACGGGAGTTTTGTAATCCTTAGATAGGGAGCTTCCCAGAGAAGCTCTGGGGCAGATTTTGAGCATGAAAACTTGGAATGGTTGCTGTACAACGTTCTGTGCAACTGGGCTTTGTGATCTACCTTTCTCAATAATCATGGTTAGTCCTGGGTCATCAGTTTCTATCTTAATGGGCAAATGAGTTGCCATTCACCATCATTTACAGCTCAGCTGGCTAAAACTATGTAGGGCATTAATAATAGGACAGTGGGTGGAAACTGTAAGCCTGAGATGTGGCCAAGGGAGGAGGCAGCTTGACATGTCTGGCTGTGCTGAAATCCCCTGGATGGGGTTAACTTTGCCCCTCCAGAAAGTGGAGTGAGAAGCAAATGTGATTTAAGGAAACAATAAGGACCAGAATGTGTCCCTGTGAACACGGGTGGATATAATAGAACAAGGTTATTTGGAAGCATCCAGCATTAACCTTTAGATGGCAACTTTGCCATTGAAAGTATTTGGAGGGAGGGCTGCACAGAGGAGGGACGAGGGAGAGGTGAGACTCGGCTCTGAAGAGCTGGGCTATAGGAACTGAGAGCAGAAACCCCTCTGGGAGCCTTGCAGGAGTGTGACAGGTCTGTCTGGCAGCAAAGAACCAGCAGAGGCACAGATCTGGGTGGGTTTTGCTGAGATTGGGTAAATTATAGAACCACAGGAAGTTTTAGACTGGGAGCCTCCAGTCCAGTCCCTGCTCCAAGCAGGGATAGCTTCACAGGCAGGAATCAGGCTGCTCAGGGTCCTATCCAGGTGAGTTTTGAAGTCTCCAGGGGCAGAGATGCCACAGCCCCTCTGGGCTCTGTCCCAGAGCTGCTCTATTCTCATGCACCACTCAGTTTTGTAACTTCTGAGGGGCAGACAAAGGTTTAAAGGGTGAGATGAAGGCAAGTGAAGGGTGCTGTGTTAGGAACTTGGGGCAGATGTGTGCCATATGGCCAAGGAGTCAGCAGAAAGCCCAAAGAAAGCTGAGATGGCTGCATGCAGGGTCATGGAGGCTATTCAGAGTTGCTTTCCAAAACATGGAGCTGTGTCCAACTGAGAAGCCTAGAAGGGAAATGGGTGGATTGAGCTTAGGAATATCTCATGAGAGGAATCAAAATCAGTAGTAAATTCTTTATTTAGCTCATCAATAGACAGTCCTGAATAAAGGGAAACTTTGGAGAGCCTACAGTACTGTAATTAATACTTTTGGCATCTGTGTTTACTGAAAGGAGCCTGGGGAGGTTCCCATGCCAGGGTTCTTCTTGTAGGGTCTTCTTGTAGGGTCTTCTTGTAGGGTCTTCTTGTAGGTCAGACAGATGAATGACCAGGGCTGGATGGCATTCATCCTGAGGCAAAGTAGCTGAACTGATCACTCTGCATTAATTTCTCCCTTAAAAATTGCCTCAAGCAAAGCAAACCACAGGAGGTGGTTGGCTATTCCA